GAAGAGAATATCGTAAATAACTACGTTGTACGCCTTTAACTTCTGTGTTCTAAAATGTATGTTATATAAGTAACTATATTTAATTATAAACGGTAAAAATGCTCAATTTAATTTGTAAATTGAATAATATGTACTGGAGATATAAAGAACAAAGTTTTCTTTATAATTTAAAATAAATACTTTTTTTAATATTTTTAATATAATATATTATTTAAAATAAATACTTATTAGCATTACTACTCATACGAGCTTAATTAATAATTTACAACTCTTAATAGTTTAGATATCGTTTCTTTAATATTTAAAAAGACTATTATATTGATAAGGCAAAACAATATTTCTAATGTGTTGCTAATGATTTATGTGATTAAAATGTAAGGATGTTTTATTTCATTTGAGAAGATTGACCTAAAAAATTGTTCATTTTAATTTGACTAGGTAGCGTTCGCAGAGGCATCCACAAAATTGAGCGGAGACATCAAGGGTTCATATTATATTGTTTTTGTCATACTGCAGTAAAAACAGTCGTTTTTAATGCATGCATTGCGGGTCTTAAGTAGCATTTTTTTATCTTTAGGGAGTAAAAATCGTTTTTATCTTCTATGGAGTAAAAATCAGCTGTTGTCAACTCAGTTACATCTATATACTAATTTACAGTCTCGTCCCATAGCATTTTAACATTGCAGATACGTTAATCCATTCCCACATTCAACACTACTCACCTTTACTACTTCCTTCACCACCCCCTACGTCGTGGACCTGTTTCCCTCTCTTCCCATAGCATTTTAGGATTGCAGATTTTTTTATGTAACTGCCAAAGACAGTTCCCACACCCTGCACTGCTAGCCTTACTACTTCCTTTACCATTTCCTACGTCATAGACCTGTTTCCTACCCTTCTCATAGCGTTTAAGTATTACAGATACATTTATCGAACTGCCCAAACGGTTCCCCCACTCTGCACTGCCAGCCTTTAATTAATACTTCCTTCACCACTTCCTACGTCGTGGGGCTTGTTTCCTTCTCTTCTCATTTTAGGATTGAAGATACATTAATCTAACTGCCACAGACGGTTCTCACACTATGCTCATACTTTACTATTTCCTAAGTCACTTCCGTGGACCTGTTTTCATCACTTTCCATAGCATTTTAGTATTTTAGATACGTTAATCTAATTGCCACAAACATTCCCCACACTCCACACTGCTAGTCTTTACTACTTCTTTCACCATTTCCTATGTCGTGGGCATGCTTCCATCCCTTCTTATAGCATTTCAGCATTGCATATACAATTATCTAACTGCTACAAATAGTTTCCAGTTCCCACACTCCACACTGCTCACCTTACTACTTCCTTCACCTCTTCCTACGTCGCGGACCTGTTTACCTCTCTTCCCATAGCATTTTAAGATTGTAGATATCTAAATCTAATCGTCATAAACAGTTACCACACTCCGGACTGCTCATCCTTTACTACCTAGTTAATTCACCACTTCCTACGTCACGGACCTGTTTCCCTCTATTTCCATAGCATTTTAGGATTGCAGATACCTTAATCTAATCGTCATAAACAGTTTCCACACTCTGGACAGCTTGCCTTGACTATTTTCTTCACCACTTCCTACGTCGCGGACCTGTTTTCCTCCCTTCCAATAGCATTTTAGGATGGCAGATACCTTAATTTAATCGTCACAAACAGTTCCCACACTCCGGACTGCTTGCCTTTACTACTTCCTTTACCATTTCCTACGTCACGGACTTGTTTCCCTCCCTTCCCATAGCATCATAGGATTGCAAATACCTTAATCTAATGGTCATAAACAGATCCCATACCCCGAACAGCTCGCCTTTACTACTTCCTTCACCACTTCCTACGTCGCGGACCTGTTTCATTCCCTTCCAATAGCATTTTAAAATTGCAGATACCTTAATCTAATCGTCATAAACAGTTTCCATACTCCGGACAGCTCGCCCTGACTACTTCCTTCACCACTTTCTTCCTCGCGGACCTGTTTACCTCTCTTCCCATAGAATTTTAGGAATGCAGTTACCTTAATCTAATCGTCATAAACAGTTTCCACACTCCAGACTGCTCACCTTTACTACTTCCTTTACCACTTCCTACGTCACGGACCTTAAGCTAGTGTCGTCATTTGATTATATTTATGATCCATACCGTTTCTGTTATAATATCTGTGTAATAATGCTATCAGCTATTTCTTTATCTTTTGCATTCAAAAGTCAGCTGATCATATTTCTTTGTTTATGACTCAAATACTGCTTCCATAAGGATTACATTGAGACTTTGAGACCCAGTGGGGCGGATTCCTGAGAGACTTTTTTAACGTCATATAGATGTTGGCACTCACCGATATGGTCTTTATCACCATGCAAAATTTGAAAACGATTGATTCAGCCGTCTAGGAGGAGTTTGCGTATTGCGAAATGCACAAGAGTGGACGTATAAGAGCTTCGCTCGCTCCACTCAATTAATTAGTATTTTAGAAATTTAAGATTAAAATTTAAAATGTCAAAAAACGAATTAAAAAAGATATGTAAATAAGGGAGATAAAGGTAAATCATGTATGTAAAATTTTTATTCGAAAATTTCGTAAGTTTTTCACACAGCTTTAAAGTTTTAACACAGTTTATAGTTTTAAAATAACAGCTTGTTAAAAAATGACATCCGTTCATAGATTGAAGATTAAAGAATTATTTGAACGGCTGCCATTTTTTCTTGGTTAGGATTTGTGGTATTGTGTTTTACTAAATAAGACCTTTAATTTGATACCAAACTTGACATATATGCTGTTATTTTAGAATTTCGTCTTACTCCTCGTGGTCCAACCCCCTTAAGAGGTAAACATTTAATTGTAGCTTGAAAGATTAGACATTTATGGTTATTATTGATATAACAAATGTTATTACTTTATTTATAAAGGTAAAAAATATATTACTCCGTTCCGGGACATCAATCACACTGTATATTTATTTCTTACAAGTAAAGTCCCATTAAAAAGTCTGAATATGAATAACCGATAGGCAGTATGGGTTAAAAGGTAAATTTCGATAAACTAAAAGGTAGTAAACACTATGTTTATTATAGTAGCTAGATAAAAACATCGTTGGATAAAAATAGGTTCTGTTAATATTACATTTAATGATTTAATATAGTAGCTAGAGTGCAATCATTAAACAAATAGTTCTTTTCTTGGTCAAGTTTTGAAATCTTTTTTACTGTACTATTCTGACTTTACAATCTATAATTTAATAAGTAGCTTCCTCTCTAAAACTATATGATAAAAAAAGCTAAAACAATTCACTTCATACCAAGAAACACCTGGACTCTTCTGTAGTGTTAAAATAATTTATTAATTGTTACATTCGATATCCGTGCAAATAAAACCCATTATAATCTATATAACTATATTCTACCTACATATATAGGCCTGCGTAGCTTTGGAGAAAGCTTAAAAAATACCATGAGAGTTTAATTTTAAGAACTCATACACAACAAACTGAGTTTAACCGGAATTGTGATAGAGGCAATCTTAAGTGTGGCCACAGATATAAATTAGTCCAACACGGAAAGGACATGCTGGTGTTACGTAGGCTACAGTGTATACCTCGCCCTATGTCACTTGGCAGACGCTCAGAGAAAGTGGTGATACAATAGGTGCATCACACTAGCTTACAACACAGGCTACAAACAACCAGGCTACTCTACGGTGTCGCGGTAGAGATCTCTAGGCTTTACAAAGATATTCATAACGTCATCAAGTAGGAACAATTAATTGTTTCGTAATAAGACAGTTTCATATCTGTATATTCCACTAATATGTTAGCGTATAGGGAATAAGTTATTACTGTAGTTCTTACTGTAAGACCTAGACTCGTGACCTTAAGTTTTTTGTTTGATGCCTCGAGACAAAATACTATAAGTTCAAATTCAAATAATTATGTCCATTAGCACGATAGCTCATAGACAATTCGTCCAATTTTGATGAAATTTGTTATAAACGTGTAAACCCACGTTTATTTGAACGAGTTTATGAACCATGCTCATCGCTTGATGGGAATCGGGTTGATCAATTGGGAAATCAGGAACTGGTTTGGTAGTCGATGAGTAGACTACTCAACCACAAAATTAATCCCAAGGTATAAAAAATCATGTCACGCCCAAGTTAAGTTTAGTAAATAGTTTTTCAACTAATTCAACATCAAAGCACGGAAAGAAAGAACGTATAAAACACAGGTCAAAATGGCTTTTTCACCACACTACGATGTTTTAGCTGTTTTACAAACGTTAATTATTGGAGGCTGAAAGTTACGTATTGCTGTCCATGCCAGCTGTCATCGACATTTGGGGACCAAGCAGGTCTTTTGCGGCCCTAGGGCAGAAAATAAACTGTTCGATTATTTACTTAAAACATTAATGCATATTTAATAGAAAAGCTGTACCCAAATGCATTGCAATAGACTTGTTTTATTGTCGCCGTTGCTTAGCAAATGTTTATAATCAAGCTGTGTACCCGTTCTACGTACGGGTTGAATAAAATATACAGTACAAACAATACAATGAAGTGACCACAGCACTTCATACAAGTTTTTTTCAATGCAAACTGTTTCTTTTTCTTGATGTTATTACGTCAAGTATAAATTCAAGCATTTAATTTACAGTAATAATAAATAGAAAGAGTTATAACTAATACAATAGTAAGTACGGTGTATATAAAGAAATACTATATGAGAATAATGACAGCTAAACTATTAAACATAATGATAATAATATGACATTTTATACAACACAAATCAATAAAACATTTAAATGAGAAGTGGTCTAAATTAGAAGAACTGGTGGTGGTGGTGGTGGTGGTATTTAGAAGATCGTACTAAACAAGGTTTCTTCTTCTAAACATTCTTTCACCCAAGGTTTCTTTCGTTGACAAAGAGGATGTGTGTGGTTTATTTGAGCGACTTCTCATACACTACGTTTCCAGTATGGCCACTCGGAGCATCAATGAAGAGGCTTTTGCTGGATCTCACTCTGGAACACGCAACTTACAACTACCCGTGAGAAAATCATGCTGATCCGCTCAGTTCCACCTCGGCTGTAGACAACGTCTGGTCTTGTTATTATTAATCGTGTTGTCAAAGCAAACTGTGACGGAGAACTATAGCCGCTTGAACTCTAACGGGTAGTTGCTAGGAATTAATTGAGTTATTGGGATAAATAACAATTCCCCAGAACCACAACCAGTGAGAATCTCTGCTTCAATGATGCTCTTTCACTGGAGACTGCAAATACGAAGACGCGTTCCATTACACAATTTATTTGTCTGGATGTAAGTTTCTTAGCAGCATCACTGAGCTCCAACCTTCAGGGTGAGTTCATAGGCAGGCAAACCGGGTGCTGATACTAGTCAGTAACAAAGCTACACAGATTATCTCACACCATCTACAATCATCCTTCACTCATATTTGGGTTGAAATTCGCACCTAAGTGGCGTCCCCACCTTAATGATTGGTAATTGATAATTGATAATTGAGTCGAGAAACTATGCTGGGTAGTTCACAGCATCTTCTTCTCTCAGGACGGTGTTCACTGATTTATATGTACGTTCTTAACGTGGAAGAGACTAATTGTTTATCTGCTTTACTTGCTCGTTTTTAGGTGTTAGAATTGCATTATCACAGAGCAAGGCACTATCCATGCTAAGTTCTGTAGTTCATAAACTTCTGGAACGACACTGGCAATCAGTTTTTCTTGTTATGTGACAACACCAAGTGAAGGAGAGGCTTATCATATTTATATTTTTCCAATGTTCCGTCTCCAACCTTCATTAGAATCCCTGGGAATTCCTCAGCTCCCCGTTGATCAAGCCTATCTGGAAAGAATGGTTTTGTAAACTCTAATAAGTTTTTAGATAATCACCAGCCAGTACTAACAAATTGTGTAAAATCTAAAACATTATTTAGATGTGAACCTGTTTCATGTGAGGAAGTAGAGAAATTGGTAAACACCTTAAGTAACAAACCTTCAAGTGGGCACGACGAAATTCCCGTTAAAGTAATAAAATATACAAACCAAACAATTTTTACTCATTTAATTAACTCATCTTTCATATCCGGCCATTTTCCAAAATTATTAAAAGTTGCTAAGGTTGTGCCTATTTTCAAAAAGGGGGACCCTCAGTGCGTAGAAAACTATCGACCAATATCACTTCTGCCAGTCATTTCAAAATTATTTGAAAAGGCAATGAAAATTAGGCTAGTGTCTTTTTTGAGAAAATAACAACCTTTTGTTTAGTGGCCAACATGGTTTTCGCTCAGGCGGATCAACAATTACAGCAGCTTCTAGTTTTTTTTTTTTTTTTTATGTATAATAAATTAAATTGTTAGACCCGAAAGTGTTATAGGAATATCAATGGACCTTACGAAGGCTTTTGATAGGGTGTGTCATCACACTCTAATACTCAAACTAGAAGATATGGGAGTAAGAGGTCATATTTTGTCGTGGTTCAAATCATATTTATCGGATAGAAAGCAATACCTTGAAATAATTTCTAATAAAAATAATTGGCTGGTAAAAAACAGATCAGAAATAAAACCTAATTACTTTAATGTCCCTCAGGGTTCAATATTAGGCCCTGTTTTATTCCTTTGCTACATTGATAAGATTCCAAATGCACTGTCGTGTGTACTTTGTGTAAATATGTGTTTATATGCTGATGACATTAACTAAAAAATTACAGGAAAACCAGAATAACACATCGAAATATATACCTTTATAGAACTTGCAAATATTAAAAATTACTTACCATCTAATAATCTCAAAATAAACAAAAGTAAAACTAATTTTATATAATTTTCAACTAAGCAATGTGGAAACAAAATATAACCGTTGATTATTTTGGATTTTGAGGAAATCAAACAAGTTGAAAAAATATATTTTTAGGTTTAAAAATTGATAAACACCTATCCTGGCAGGACCACGTCGGTCATGTTTGCTCAAAGATAAATTCAGGGAAATTTTCATTGAAAAAGATACCTTATCTATGTAATATCAGTACTTTTAAAACAATATTATTCCATTCATTTCATGTGGCTGTCCATAGCCACATTTCATACGGTATATCTTTAAATAGAACTATAACAAAGAAAAATCTCACTCGAATCTTAAAATTACAGCAAAGGGCATTTAGAACAATGATGGGACTAAAAAATGATGAATGTGTTAAAATCCATTTAAAAATTTTAAAATAATAACTGTCTTTGCCCAATATATTTTTGAAACTGCTCTCATTGCGAGAGAAAGTATACCAGATAACGCACAATTATGCTACAATACAAGAGGAAAAGCCCTAAGAGAAAATAGTCGCAACCATCTTTTATTTTCAAATAAAAAGCTCACCTGTGCCGGAACAAGGTTTTTACGTTTTCTTCCAAATAATTTAAAAACCATTGGCAACATCAAATTTAAAACAAATTTAAAAAAAAATATCTTATAGAAATCGCTACTATAGAAAAATTACTCCATTAAAGAGGTGTTTCCTCAATTAACCTGATTTTATTGGTTGTTTCTTAGTATTGTATAAATTGTAATTTTAGCTTATAACTGCATTTACTAGGTTAGGAATTTGACACTCTATTCAATGTACAATGTACAATTATTGAATAAAAATATTGAAATGAAAAAGTATTGAAATTACAATACCAACAAAATGTTTCACGTTTCTCTTAAAACATAAGTCAGGCCTCTTTTCTTATAATGTACATTCAATTTAGGCGTTAAATAACAATTTAAATAATAAATAACAATATTTTTATTGTTTTTTGTTTTGTTGGCCCTGTATGACAAATAAATCAAAACTCGCACTACTTATAATTAATTTAACATTAACATAACCCCAATTTTGAAATACAATATCAGTTTCATCAATGTTTGTATATAACAAACCGCAAACACCCGAAACTCTATTTCATTACATTACGTAACACGTGACCCGTTCTATAGTCAATGGCATTATTTGCATTTTATTTAGCTTTAAATAGCTTTGTGCTTATTCTCTTCAAATTGTCAAATACTATACGAATTGTATATTTTCTGTTAGAAATAATCCTGTCTTTACTGAGAATAGCAACTTCTTTAAGGACGTTAATCCATTATGGTGGGATAAAATGTAAAATTGTATATATTATAATTTTAAAACATGTTGGGGTTTTGAGTGTTCGTTATTTTATTACCAATTGACGTAGATATGTTTCAAGTAATAAAAAGCCTTCTTTTTTGTCCAAGGACGCTAGGCACGAGCCCGGAATTGTTTTTCATATTACTTCAGGCTAGACCAGGGGTTGCGGTATTATCACATAGATAAAATCTATTGGTGATTTGGCGGGATTTGAACCGAAGTCCCGCGCTCTAACCACTACACCAGCTCGCTCCCCAGAAAAACCTTCTTATGCATGTAGAGAGTACATCGTAATAGTTTCATCATAATCTATTTTTTCGTTTTCCTGGAGAAGAGAGCGTAAAATGCCATCTTGAGTGTTACAGACAGACATAAATACAGACAGACAGACATACAGTATTTAAGATAACACGCGTTTCGGCTTCCCTTCCGTGTGAAATGTAAAATTAGCATTAACATTTATGATTCCACGCAATGTACAGACAAAACTCTAATTTTATTTATTTAGAAGATATAGTTCTTTTTTTATCTATACTTTTTAAGCTTTTATTATTTTTTTAGCATTTTAATTTATACTTTTACAGCACAAACTTTTTAATTTTTACTGATTCCTCTAAACATTACTTCACATAACCTTAAAGGTGTAGTTGTTAAGGCAAGACGTCTGCCTGTCGCAGTCCAAAATCATTAAAAAAAACTCAGGATAAGAGCCTAGGATGACACGGCAACGGTTATAGAATTTTCTTCATTTCCTATACAGGGTGATTGATATAAGTGTGCCAGCTGTTTTATTCGAAAACTATAAGAGATATCAAAATATGTTAAATGTATTTTTAAAATATGTTAAAAATATGAGTTTTCTTATGGAACACCCTGTATTTTATAATGTATTCCGGTAGAAAATGTAATTTTAAGACAATTTTACTCTTGTGTTTTGTTTTCATAAACATAACCGTTTCGAAGATAATAATGGTTACAGTTTTGAAATTTTGGCATGAGAAAGAGTTTTGATAAAGGCCTGAGCAAGCATGCCAGCTGTTTTATTCGAAACCTATTTTTGAAATTTCACAACTTTAACCATTATTATCTTTGAAACGGTTAGGATTAAGAAAAATAAAACACAAGAGTGAAATTGTCTTAAAAATACATTTTCTACCGGAACACATCATAAAATACAGGGTGTTCCTTAAGAAAAATCAAAGTTGGCGGCAATATTGGAAAAATGGAGGCTGAAAGATTTTTTTCGACTGGACTAAAGTTTTAATTTTTTTTTTCGATATCTCTTATAGTTTTCGAATAAAACAGCTGGCACACTTATATCAATCACCCGGTATTGAATTATTTGTTTTGTCAATGAATTATTCCCTTTGAATTGACTTATTATTACAGTGCTTATATATTTGAATCATCTATTATGTGGAATTGTGAAATTTAATGCATTTTACGATTCTGCTTGTTTACATTTTGTTGAAATTGTCAAGTTTGCTTGTTGTTTCCATGGAAACTAATCAATATTTACTTTTAAAAGCCTCACCTCAGAACTTTAAAAAGCCCACAAGTCAGAGCCCTAAGTCAGTATAGAAACGGGAATAGCTCTAAACTGATCCTAGGTACTGTAGCTGTATATTTGTGAAATTTAAGTACAATCGGTTTAGTAGTTTTTACGTTTACAGTACCTTGTACAAACAGACATACGGACAGACACACAGACACCACATTTTCTTTATAATATTATAGATTACACTCTTTTGAATTTCACTACAAAATGCACTTTTTTACCCTTCTTGTAATAGCAAACAATACTCGTTAAACCTAAAGCTATATTAAAATGGAATACATTTGACAAGTTTGGGGAATTCATTTTTTTACAAATCCAACAAGGAAATGGGAGTTCCCTTAGTCTGCAGTGTTGCTGCAGCGGATCATTATTAAAACGGAGTTGATAATACTTAAAATTTGTCATATGTGCAAAGGTATACTAGGTTGCATAATGTACCTGATCGTACATAGTTATCACCACTGAGAAAGTTAACAATATTTTGCTTATGTTTTAGAGCCACTAAAGTTTAAGTCATTTGGTCACTTTTTATATGCAATAACTATACTGTATCATTTTATTTATGATAGTACTGATTAAAAAATAACCTTTGTTTTAGGCTGGGTAGTTTTTTAAATTTATTACTGAAAAATAAAAACTTTAAATAATGACCTTACAGTAGTAGAAGTAGAGTTGTTGGGGAGGTTTCTAGCTCATTTCAGGTAAATGCGAGTTGTGGCTCGACTACTTGGCCCTCACATCAGTTTGGCCAGTGAGGAGTGAGTGAGGAAGGAGCTAATGGACAAACTTTTGACAGCTCGTGGTCGACTCAACTTTTGTGTTTCCCTTGTTCACGCGCCAGCTTCCACTCAATTTGATTGAACTCATATTAATATTTCCCGTCTTTTCCAAAAGAATACTTGTAGCACAGAAATATGTTAGGAATCGGTAGTAATAGTGAAAACCTAAAAATAAACATCGAAACTATTTTTCAAACAATTAGAGCTAATGGTATCAACAACTTCTAGAGTTAACATTATTTACTAAATTATATAATATCGATAAAATAATACAAGGTGAGACTAATCAGCAGGTTTCATTAGACCAGAAATAGTCGATCATTCTATCAGAAACTTAAAATTATTGTTGTAGCCAATTATACTTATCTTTTAAGATAGTGTGGATATACGAGAATAATAAATATCATACCGCACAAATTATCTGTAGCTTTCTGTTATAGATTTTATATATCAATTTCTGTTTCAGATGATTGTGTTGATGTTGGTTTTTATTGCGATCAACGGCGTGGTTGGAAAATCTGGTGATGCAGGACCTAGACAGATAGCCGGATATCCGGTAGACACAGGCTACAGACAGCAGGGTCGTGGAGCCACACCTGTCACTGAGGAAACGTCAGACGAACAACAATATCAACAGCAACAGCAACAAGCAGCTGTACAGCAGCAGCAGGTGTACGCCCAACTGTTGGCCCAGAAACAGCAGTATTTGGGAAATGTTCAGCAGCAACGGGTGCAGTTCCCTCAACAACAGCAACAGCTACAAACCTACCAGCAGCAACAACAATACCAGCAGCACCAACCGTACCAGGAGCAACAACAATACCAGCAGCAAGAACCGTACCAGCAGCAACCACAATACCAGCAGAAACAACAGTACCAGCAGCAAACACAATACCAGCAGGAACAACAGTACCAGCAGCAACCACAATACCAGCAGGAACAACAGTACCAGCAACAACCACAATACCAGCAGCAACAGCAGCCTGGATCACAAAGGCTACGTCAGCCCGAGAGCCTTGCCTCCTCAGCGGCTCTACTAGGAGTAAAGTTCTCTGCAGCCCCCGCCGTGGCTCGTACTGTCTACCGCACTAACACGGGAGTTAACTTTTCGTACCGATAAATTTGTTTATGAAAATATATGTTGACTTTGTTAATCAAGTTGTTTTTTTTTTTAAAGTTCCATTCCTTAAATATTATATCGTTGGAGTGAATTAATACTTCATAATTGAAACAAAGAACCTAATGATTTATTGATTTATTTGTTTACACTTGATACTTCAATATACAATCGACTGCATCATGGGTGACCGATTGTAATCTCTCTTTGGAGACAATTCGATAGTATGAACTTGTTGGTGCGATGAATTGAATATTGATTTGTCGCATCAGCAATGACAGGAATATTGATCGCTTCTGTATTTTTTTTATTAATTCAACTATGTAATCATATTGAATTAGGGAAGTACTGTAATTTTAGCAATCAAAAGTAAAACTACTTCAAACGATAATGATTTGATCTACCTATTGTATTCTACCTATGTTATATCAATATATACAGGATGTTCATTTGAAAACTTTCCATATCTGTTGTGTGCAAAGGTAAGGCTTTTAACACTTGTTTGTTCTCATTTCCCCCTAATTTGGACATGCCAAATTCAATAAAATTATTTTCAAATTTTTAAAAATGCCCCAAAAGGGCCCAATTTGGGGGGTAGGGGTGCTTTTTGAGAAATTTTCAAATGTAAACATGGGTTGTGTGATACATAAATTTAAAGGTCTAATCACCCCGATCATTTTGGTGCAAAAAAAGTTTAATTATCTTTAACCGTATTTACAGGGTGGGTCAAAACGTTTTAAAAAATGACTTTGAAGTTAAGTACCGTATTACCCTAACTACTGAACGGAACAGCGCCAAATTTCTTTCCAAGCTTATTCTTGAGCTACTCTTTAAGATAACTTGTAGTAAGGGCATTTTCCAAGTTATTTTCTATTTTTTTAAAAATCTCAAATTTTAAGAATAAAAGAAAGCTGAAAACTCAAAATTCTTAAATAGCAAGGTATAACAAATTTCATACCACGTGAAAGGTCCTTTTTTAACAAACATTTTACGTATTTAAGTTTTCTTTCTATCTCTTACCGTTTAAAAATTGCAGTGGAAAAACATAATTTTCCATGGTAAAATTATAACTAGTTTTCTAATAAAACACATTGCACTTTGTTCAACGATGTAGTAGGATTCATAACAAATTGATCGACTACTTTTACGTGTGTCAGAATTCATCTTGGACCCTTCATCCTGTTCTTTTCTCATTGGTAACTGATCCAGTTTCAGAAAACTTCCTAACTAAATCATTTACAGCCATATGACTCAAGGTTATACCTGGATATCTATTGTTAAACACTTTGCAGTTATCCTGGAACACTTTTGTTATGACCAATAAGTAAAATAAAGTATATTTTTTTAAGTTTACACCATATTTGATTAGGTACTACAGGAAATGGTACTTTTGAAATTAGTACTACCATTGACTAGTCAATGGTACTACAGAAAGCGGCCCACGCTTGGGTTTTTCTCATCAGCTATAAAACTTGTTTCTCACAAAGTAAAACGTAATGACTTGTTTGCCTATCTGCCTAAAAATAATTATGAATTGTTTCCTTCAGTTATTGCACCATTTAATGTGTCTAGAGAGAGGAGCGAGATGGTGTAGTGGTTAGGGCGCGGGACTTCAGTCCCTGAGGTCCCGGGTTCGATCCCCGCCAAGTCACCAATGGATTTTATCTAAGTGATAATGCCGCAACCCCTAGGTCTAGCCTGAAGTAATGTGAAAAACAATCCCAGGCTCGTGCCTAAGTAGATATAATATAGCAATATGACCCCACTTTCGGCGTTTTTTGGCCAATTTTTAGAGGATATGGAGACGTTTATAGGGGCACTGGAGACGTTTTAGAGGCTATATGTTGGCATTTTTGCACTTTTTCTACGAGAAAAATTGAGGATCATTTTTTAGCCACTAATTTCAAAAATCCTGATCTTTGCCCACAAATCCCTATATAGTTGTAAAACCTTATTTCCTACTTATTCCCTATATATATATTTGAAATCAAGCTTTAAAAGCTATTTTATTTATTTATTGACCCACATAAGTGTAAATTTAGAGTAGATATAATACCAGAATATGACCTCACTTTCGGCGTTTTTTGGCCCAGAACTTTTAAAATTTTTGGCGAAAAAAATGTCCGAAGCCCCAGGAGCTTTTTTTGCCCACTTTTCTTAAAGACCCAGCTCTCGACCTATACACCCCTATATAAATTTTCTACTTTTTTATTACTGAAAAACACGTCTGGAAATGGTGAGCTTTTTTTGACCACTTTTTTAAAAATCCAGCTCTCGGCCTATACAAGCCTATATAAATGTTCAAACTCCATTACTATTTCAAATCCACATCCATTCTCATGTATATTCTCAAAATCGATCGAGGTTTGTACGCGAACTCAACTCATGGCGTGTGCGCGCTCCTGGCTTATGGTTAGGCTTCTCGCTCCCGACTCATGGCGTGCTCCCTTGGACATCCTTAGTGGAAATCCATGAATTCTGGCTACTTGGGAACCCAAGCCATTTGACATATAATAAATCACCTTTTCTCCTAATAACCTTTTCTATCAAATACATGTCTTTATATTTAGTCTTTAACAATTCCTCTGTATAGAAGCCTCCCCTGATTATATTACCATTTTCATCTTTCAAAATATAAGTCACAGGCTTTGTATTCTTAACTTCTGCTATTGTAAATAGCTCCCCTGTCCAATTCGGGGTATATCCTTTACTAAAAACATGTTTATACTTGGAAATTCTCACACTATCACCTACCTTATATCTTGGCTTTTTAACTTGCACTACTTTAGAAGTCAACCTCTCATGCACATATTTACTATTCTTAATATTCACTTGGTTAGGCTTCATTCCTATAGATCTATGCACCTTATTATTATATTTTCGAATTAACTTTGGAAGTAAATCCAACCATTTATAACTCCCCTGAGCACTAAATTCCCTATATAACCAATTCTTTAAAGTTCTCTGAAACCTCTCCACAATTGCAGCCTTAGTTGTAGAAAATGTGTGATAGTGATTAATATTTAATTGTTTCATTAGTTTGCTAAAATATTGATTAAAAAATTCTTTTCCATTGTCAGATTGAATGTTTTTAACCCCCTTTGGTAGAATGGTTTTAATGGCTTCTGTAACCACTAACCCTGTCTTATTCTTTAGTGGAGCAGCATAAGCTTTTTTAGAAAATGTATCTATTAAAGTTAAAATATATTTATTGCCAGAATTTTCTCTAGCATAGTTTTGCATATCAATTAAATCTATTTGTACGGTTTCGTTTATACCCAATACTTTAAAAGACCTTCTAATGAAATTCTTTCTTGCAGGCTTATGAAGTTCGTATGCAATTTCATTCATTTTTTATAACATCATCCTTTCCTTGTACTGTAAATATATTACCATTAGCCCCAATCAATAGATTATCTTCCATTCTTTTAAATACATAGTTTTCTGGTATATATGGTCTATTATCTATATACTTAAATCCACTCAAAGATGTGGGGTCGGCAACTAATAAATCAGGATTGTATTCCATCAAATTAAATTTTCTTCCTCCATATACAAATTTTGATCCATCATAATACATAGCTTGTGACATTAAACAAATATCATCTAAATATTCCCCCATTGGCAGATTTCTTATATATTGTTTTTTGGCATCCCAACATTTTTCTTTTTTATCAAAAGTTATAGTCTGTTCTTTTGTAACACAGTCAGTGTCATCAATGGCAGGTTTAACACGTACTAACCTTTTATTATTAAAATCCCAATAGCCTGCTTCCATTTTTGGAACTTGTGAAACATTCACAGCATCCTTACTATCTGTACCTTCTATCAAATTGCTAAGTTTCTGTTTCTTAGCATTCCAAACACCATTCTCTGATTCTAAAAATTCATAATTATTATCGTCTTGTACAAATTTACCATCTTCTTTTCGTATTAAAGTCTGTTGTAAAGTGGGCACATCATTTAAACTTTCACCCTTTTCTACATTAGTAATTTTCCGTTTCTTAGCATTCCAAACACCATTCTCTGATTCTAAAAATTCATAATTTTTATTGTCTTGTACAAATGTACCACCATCTGTTCGTATTAAAGTCTGTTGTAAAGTGGGCACATCATCTAAACTTTCACCCTTTTCCACATTAGTAATTTTCTGTTTTTTAGCATTCCAATTTTTATTCTTAGATTCTAAAAACTCATATTTAGTTTTACCTTGTAAAAAGACATCACCTTTTCTAGTTAATGTCTGTCCCAAAGTTGATACATCATCTACAAACTCTCCATCTTTAACATTACCAATTTTACGGTTTAAACAATTCCAACTATCGTCTTGTAAATTTAAAGTAGGTTCACTACTAGCCCTGGGTTCTGCAGGCTTATTATATGGATTATATAAACGATAAAATTTATCTATAAACATATTTTTATTTAATAAATAATTCCACTTTCTCTCAATTCTTCAATAATGGAATCTATTTCATTATCCACTCCTGAGTTACCAGCTTGGCGACTTAGCCAAAGAAGTCTTAACCTATCTACAAGCTCATTAGGATCATCCCAATAAATATAGTCTATTTTATTACCAGTCACTTGTCTCAAACCTTCACCAACAGATTTAAATAGAGGTTTTATTATATTAAGATATTTAGTATGTCTATTACTTGAAATTGGTGCACCGTCTTTGTAACTCTTTAAATGCCCATTTGTAGCTTCCAAAATTTCTTTATAATTTTGCAAATCAGCCGGAGTATAATCCTCAGGTTCTTTTAAAGTTAACAACTGCCACAAGCCTTTTGTCCCCTTGTAGGTTTTATTTGCAACTGTAACATCATCATTGGCAATATCAACTTCCTTATTTCCAATAAAAAATTTATTTGCTTCTCGTCTAATACCATATGTAGTGTCTGTCATACTACTTTTACTGAGGTAATTTCCTAAATAGTCTGATGCTAAAAGACCAAAATCTAATTTCTGTGGAGTGGATTGCTGTAATGGTTGTAATGGTT